CTCGTGAAATGTCTGATCTCAGATTTCTTCTGTGCGCGCTTGGATCTTTTGTGCAACAACCCTGTCAAAATCCCTCTGTGGGATTCCCCACAGTATTGAGTATGTAAGTCGCTTTGGATAAAAGCGTCTAACAAGTAACTAATGTAATGCGCTATAAATGTGGTTGCCAGGTCCACATTGGGTATACGTACGCCGGCTGGTGTTAAAAGTCACCCAATAACCCAGCAATGTTAATGATAATATCTTCTCTGTTATTGTATGGCATTCAAAGGGAACAGAGGGGCACTGAGGGCATCCTATCAAGTAAGCCTCCACAAAAAAAAAGTTAATCAGTTGCCAAGTGTTGGAGTTTTTTTGTCTCAGTGTTTTACAACAGCTCTGTTCATTTAAAAGTGTTTAACAAATGTGTGTACATAGTTTTTGATCTAGTGACAAACTTAATGTTGCACTTCTGATAATTTAAATGTGGTTTCACCTGTGATGTACTGTATACTGCACTTCCTAGTGTTTTGTCCCTTTCTGTTTATAACATGTGTGTTCTTTGTTCATTTAAAATGGTGTGTACATCGTTTTTGAGCTAGTGACAAACTTAATATTGCACTTTTGATAATTGTATAATTTAAATTTGATTTGTACTGTATATACTTGACTGCACTTCCCATGTTTCGTCTTTCTGCTTTGATCCTTATTTTTTCTGGGCAAGCCAAAGGGAAGGTTGTTATGGTGAGAAACCTAATTGCTTCGATGCACTTTTATAATTAAATAAATATTTTCATTTTAAATTCATGGTGTGTTGCATTCTTTGTTTATAACTGTAGATATTATGGAAAATCATGATATTTGTTGAGCTTGGGTCCCTTAGGACCACAACATTTCTGTTTTGGGTCTCATGCTGAAACAGTTTGGGAACCCCTGTAGCTCATGCAATTTAGGCCTATAAATTGTTTATGTAATTTATGTGCCAGTGTGTCCATGGTTTTGAGTCTGTGTGTGTGTTGAGCGCAGTGCCGTCTGCTTTTTTTCAGTACAGTAACTAAAGTAGGACTAAGCATACCGGTAGTTTCTGTGGACCTGTCTGCCCGTTTTGTGAGTGCACTGCGCACTTGTGTGGCATTGTTTGGGATGACCTAATTAAAATACTGTCCCCCCAGTAAAAAAATCCCCACTACACCACTGTCGATACGTAAAGGCTGCAGCACCTTTGACAACTTCTCTCTACATATCAAACATACCGGTAAACCAGCATCGTTTGCTGTGAAAGCATATAACTCTGTCCACACAGAATTAAATCCTGTGTTCCTCCGGTACTTTTCTTTGATTTATCCATAGTTCGCTCATCGAGCCGTGGGCCAGGTTATTCGCCTCTAAGAAAAGGCGCTCGCGCGGGACCGTAGCAGGATGTGACGCATATTTTAGTTGACCTAATTAAAACCTTTTTGTTTTTTATTTATGTGTCACAGCATCACCTCAAAATACAAGATACGTAACATTTTCAACCGTGCAACAAAATATAAATAGTCCTACAAATAGTTTTATTTTATTTCCTTCTTATTTTTGTCTAAGCTCAAGGGAGCCAGAGCAGAGGGCTTAAAGGGCCGCATGCGGCCCGTGGGCCGCGGGTTGCCAACCCCTGGCCTAGGCAGATAGCCTTAGCTAGAGCTATTGTTTGCTAACACCATATGTGCCATTGTTTACGTTCAGTTTTTCTTTTCTATAGTTGTTGTTGCTATTTAGTATTCTGCTGCAGTAGTTTGTGGAAATAACAAGTCATTTTGCTGTTCTCGATGATTACATTGGGACTCATGAGGAGGAACATTCCCGAACAACGGGTGATGGCAGTGTTCCGTCCACAACATCGTCATCGAATCCAGAACGGACCCCAGCTCGACCACAGACACCAGCCGAAGAATCGACACCAACTCAACCACCAACGCCGAGTGCCATCACGACACCGCAGCGTGTGGTTCTAGGTAAGAAATAGAAATGGCAAAACGACTGGAATTGTGTTTTTTTTTTTTTAAACCTTGGATCATCCATCGTCAGTAATTAAAATAAGCTATACCACTGTGTGGAAATGCTCTGTTACAAGTAAAGTCTTAGCTAGTAAGCAGCTAGTACAGTTGTGTGTGACATCCTATCATATACATATATTTATATTCATTATCAACAGGCTGGACATAATGTAATTCACTTTCACAATCATTGTAAACATCTAGGGCCAGAACTTTCTTTAGTTCACCTTACTGTTGTTCTGTTTATACATGTTATTCTTATATCCTTGTGTGACCTGTACCTGTCCTGTGTTTTTTCCTTATTGCTAATTATTATCTTATTGTCACCCAGGCAAGAGGAAACGAGGAGGAGAGGATCGGGCCCAGCAGGAACGGCACCATGAACAGCACCATGAACAGCACATGGCCCAGCAGGAACGGCACTTGGACTGGGCCAAAGCGTCTGCTGAGCGGAGATGGGAGTTGGATGCGGCCTTGAGAAGGGAGGAGGCCGCTCAAGCAGAGACCTTCAACCTAGCCTTCCTGCGCACTCTTGGCGAGGTGCTAGGGGGACTGGGCAGCCGACGTGGCCCGTCTCCTCCGTGATACTTTAAATAACCTTAATAGTTATGGTACATATTATATATTTTTTATCTAGTTAATTTTTAAATGCAACATTTGTACTTTCTTGTTTATTTATTTTCTTTAAAATGTTCATTTTATTTTTACAATGCCATGTATATTTATGCTGGCTGCAATACAGTTTTACATTTTTTTATTTGTATTGTTTAATGGCATGCCTTTTTGATAACATTTTTTTTGTATTTTTATACTGCCATCAATAAAGTACTTATTTTACTTATCTTATCTCTTGTTGATAATGAATTGCACCCAACAGAAAAAAATCAGATTCACATAATCTTGATTTAGAGAAGATATAAACATACATGAATTTATAAAGCAATAACAAACACCATCAGTTAGGAAAAAGCCCCTTAGTTTTAAGAGATTTAAAGCAAGAAATTGAGTTTGCTAGCTTGAGGTCCTCCTCTAAAACATTATTACATGTTTATTTTGTAATAGTATTAAGAATACATGATAAATACATAATACATGTAGAAATTGCTCAATTGTAATACCCTCGTTCTACTAGACTCAAACAACACATTCCTTATATATTTCAAAGACAAGAGAACAAAAGAAACCTATAACCCATTCAAGCAAGCTTTTAACATGTCTAGAAGAAAGATTGAGGTTATATTTTAATATATTATTTTATGTTGTGGATACTTTAGCCTCCATCCATGTTTACAATTGTCCACACTATTTTACACTTGCATTTATGAATATAGTTTTGCTGTGTTTTACACTTTAGTATTTATGTTTATAGTTAGCTTTGATATTCGCTTAATTTATTAGAAAGATTTTCTTTTCATGATCTGATATTTCCTCAAATGTTCTTATTATGGGGCAGTACTTACTGGTGCTTGAAATTCAAATATTTACTAAATATTCAATTCAGATAACAACATTTGTTTAAAACATTTGACAAACACATGTATATGAAAAAAAAAGGATTTATTTATGTTCAATACAATGAATACAATATAATGCATATTTAGGTATTCAGGTAGCGCATCAAACCCTCTCTGATGTCAGTGCCCTCCTCCTCTGCACCTTGAGCCACTGCTACCCCAGGCTCTGCTGCTGCTGGTGCATTCCACCCATCATCATAGTCCTCTCCATGACTCTCGCAGAGGTTATGCAGAGCACAGCACGTCAGCACCATGGATTTCACAAGTTTCACATCACAGTCATTTCTTTTCATGAGGCAACGCTACCTTCCCTTCAGTCTACCAAATGCGTTTTCAACCACTACCCGTGCGCTGCAAATTTTCTTGTTGTATACCACATGTTCTGCTGTCAGCCGTCCAGTGTCTGGTAAGGGTTTTAAGAGCCAGCTTTGCAAGGGATAGTTTTTTGAGTTGTGTCGCATTGAAGATGACGCCACTGCAGTTTTACCCAGCGTCGCTCCGCCCAAAAAGCCCGCCAAAAAGCCGATCGCCCCGCCTACACTGCGTTGCTACCCCAGGTCCTAAACTGTAATGGGAATGCGCCACGGCCTCGGACGGCCAGCGAGGCAGCCCGAGGCCTGAGCGAGGACGCTAAGGGACGCTTAAACGGGGCTACCCCGCTGCAGTGGAAATGCGCCAATAGAGTCCAGTAGAGGGCGGAGCCTGTGTAAAATACAACTGAGATTTTTGTGTTCTGCCTTTGACCTGCACAGTGTTTATTGTGTAGTAAATGTATTAACCACGAAGATTTGGAAATGTATGTCAGCCAGAATTGAAATTATGTCTAGAAAGTAGAGTTCACCCTCTTAAAGGTTGGGCCTCAAGATTAGATAATAAAGCAGGAGCCACCTAAAGGCCCTTATCTGCTGAGTTGGTATTATGTTGTTAGTGCTGAATCTGAAACAAGCACAGGTTTTCCATCTTTCTTCAGGTGCAATCCACTCAATGAGAGCAGTTAAAGGCAATTTCGGGGGAACCCTATAACGATTCTCCTTTGATAATCTCTCTTCATAATATTCTTAAAGCAACCAGTGCGAGAATGACTCAGGGTCACTGTTAATGCCTGAACCTCGGTTTACTTTGTTATCTGCCCCATTATCAGCCTCAGGGACGAACAGCAGTTAGACCATGTGAGAGGGAGCTTAACATTGGGTAAAAGGCCCAGTGCTCCGATTAGTAAGTCAATGTAAACCTAGGGAAATATTGAGGTGAAGGGACAGTGGCAACTTCTGTGCCAGTATTGTAATTTTATAGTTTTTGACTGAATGAAATGACTAACCGGTAGTGCAAGAATAGCAGAGGCTGCATGGGCTAATCTTTGAACCACACTATAAAGTAAAAGACCATAAACTAGTTTAGTATTGCAGAGTGCCAAGTGCCTTCACTTTGACTTCCGAGAAGGATAGTATAACATCTAAGCTTCAGTAGCGTCACCATGAAGCTGGTACTTCCTAACCCAGGTTTGGATGACAGGATCCCTTCCTATGATGATCTGGAGAGGATGGATAAGGAGGAGGCTGGGGACAGGCCAAAATGGGACAACAAAGCCCAGTACATCCTAACCTGTGTGGGATTCTGCGTTGGGATTGGCAATGTGTGGAGGTTCCCTTACTTGTGTCAAAGTCATGGAGGAGGTAAGCAAAGATGAAAATGGGAAAGGAACACCTTACCATCTTGGACTGTCAATTCTTGATTACAGATTATAGTGTGTATGAGGTGCTGTTAAAATGATTTTTCCTAGAGAGACTTATTTGACACTAACAAAATTACATATTTTATCTATTAACTCTTTTAAGTTTCAAAAGATTCACTTTAATCTAACAGTTGAATCTGGTGATTTATGAATGGCATAAATACAATTGTCAAAGTATACACACGGATTAGTGCACAGTGAATGTTTAGCGCAAGTTTAATTCGAGGAAAAACGTTATAAACCAAGAGGCCCAGGACAGATGTTGCAGTTACCAATAAACGACACATATTGTGTAAATATGTTTCTGATAATAATAATAATGTTTTTTCAGGTGCATTTTTAATTCCCTACCTGATCCTGCTTGTCCTGGAAGGAATGCCTCTCTTGTTGCTGGAGTTTGGCATCGGCCAGCGTCTCAGGAAAGGCAGTGTAGGAGTCTGGAGGTCCATCAACCCTTATCTGACTGGTATTGGTAAGTTAAATAGGCTCTGAAACAAGTTGTCCAAAGCATAATAAAAGAAAGCATCAGTTAATAATTCTGTACTTCTCAGGTATAGCCTCCATGTTGGTGTCCTTATTGATTGGACTGTACTACAACACCTTGATAGCCTGGATTATCTGGTATCTCTTCAATTCCTTTCAAAGCCCGCTGCCTTGGACCCAGTGTCCTCTGAATATCAATGGAACAGGTTGATATAAATACAGAGATACTCATTAAGCACCTAAATCAACTCATGATTTAGCCATGAATAAACACTTAAAGAGGAATGTTTCTTGCCCCTATAGGATTTGTACCGGAGTGTGAACAGAGCTCCACTGTTGATTATTATTTCTACCGAGTGACTTTGAATAGTACCACCTCTATAACTGACTCTGGAGGAATCAACTGGCCGATAGTACTCTGCCTGTTAACTGCCTGGACAATTGTGGCAATCTGCTGCATAAGGGGCATCAGCACAGCAGGCAAGGTTTGTTGAACTTAAAGAAACTCAAACTGTAGCCAAGACCCATCTTCTCCACTACTTTCAGAACTTCAATCTTTTGCCAAATATCAATAATTCCATGTTTCCTTGTCATTAACATCAGGCAGTGTACGTCACAGCCATCTTGCCTTACATAGTGCTGGGCATCTTCCTGATCAGAGGACTGACTCTAAAAGGTGCCACGACTGGATTAAAGTTCCTCTTCACACCAGACGTATGTTTCAAATCTTCATAGGAACGTTGAATCTCATAACTCAGAGGCGCATTCAAATGTGTGTCTCTCCTTTGCAGGTGAATGAGTTGATAAAACCATCCACTTGGCTGGATGCAGGTGCCCAGGTCTTTTATGCCTTTGGGGTGGGGTGGGGAGGCCTCATCTCCTTTTCAAGCTACAACCCTGTTCAGTAAGACACATTTAGAGGACATGTGATGATTCTTAATTTCAAGTCTCATTTTGCACACTTTGATTGGAGTAGCCGTTCTCAAAACCGAAGCCAAAGTATTTATTTTGCTTATTTCCTTTCCCAAGCAACAACTGCGTGCAAGATGCTGTGATCCTGTCGGTCGTGACTAGCCTCACCTCAGTGTATGCTGCAGCAGTTACTTACTGCATCATTGGCTTCAGAGCAACTGAAAAATATGATACCTGTATCAGTGAGTGAGTAGTCACATGCCTCGGTTTCAATGTTTTTATAAATGAGAAGTCCTACAAGTATATTCTACCTTGCTTTTACTTTGAAGCCGTCACAATTGTATCGGTTAGATTGTGGACATTTGAGTCAAAAAAGGTAAGGGTCCCTTTACACTTGTAGTATGGACTCTTCACTTTACTAGTTGACATCTAAATAATGTAGTAAAATAGACAAATCTGTATTCATCTTCTCATGTACAATACAAATGTGCTAATCTGTGACTTTTGTTCCTATAGTAACATCATGAAATTATTAAATGAATTTGAGCTCCCTGAAGACAACATCACCACAAGCAACTATGAGGAGGCCTTTAATAGTCTCAACAGCTCTTATCCTGATATAGTTCTTGGATTGGACATCAAAACTTGTGACATGCAGAAACTTCTTAGTGAGGTGACTATATTGATGAATATCGGCCATATTGCCAGTTATTTGCTCCTACCTGCATTATGACTTCCTTGTGTTTGTGCAGGGAGTGGAGGGAACAGGTCTGGCCTTCATCGTGTTCACAGAAGCCATCACCCAGATGCCCGGTTCTCCAGCTTGGTCCGTCCTCTTTTTCGTCATGCTTTTCAGCTTAGGACTCTCGACCCTGTTTGGCAACATCGAAGGAGTGGTGGTCCCATTGAAAGACTTGAATGTATTCCCTAAAAAATGGCCACATGAAGTACTGACAGGTAACTTGGTTGCAAAAAGATTTGTTTTTCCATCTTCAATAAAACACCTTTGGTATTCGTCCCTGGTTTATGTTTTAACACAAGCTTGTTTTTGTGTTTGTATGTTTCAGGTTTAACATGTGCCATAGCCTTCATCATCTGTCTCCTGTTTGCCCAGAATTCAGGGCTTTATTGGGTAACTCTCTTTGACAACTTTGCTGGATCTGTTCCACTTCTGACCATTGGATTGTTCGAGATGATAGCTGTTGTATACATTTACGGAATTGACAGGTCAGTGATTCAACATATTCTAGCAGGAGATGGGTAAACTATCGAAATCCAATGATACAGTCTTGATTTCATGACTCATTTCAAAACTAACTAAAACCCTCTTATGTGGCAGGTTCAATGAGGACTTTGAGTTCATGGTTGGATACAAGCCCTCTATCTTTTGGCAAATTTCATGGAGGTTCACCAGTCCTCTAATTGTGCTGGTTATTTTAGTTTTCTACCTGGTGACACAAGTCCAAGAAGCACTCACGTACTCAGTTTGGGATCCCGACTCTGTAAGTAGACAAGTTCTGTGATCAGCCACTCTATCTCACATGCTCAATATCTTCAAGTAAATGTTGTTTCTCAATTATACAGTATATCATAATTAAACTGACTTTGGTCAATCATACTTACATTGGTCATTGCATACCAAATGGGCTAAATCATATTGTATTGTGGTTAACAGGAGAAGTTCCCGTCTCTGGCTTCAGTACCCTACCCTTCTTGGATATACGTGATCATCTTTCTGTTGGCAGGAGTTCCCAGTCTGGTAGTGCCTGCGTATGCATTGTGTAGATTTGTCTTTGTTTGCTGTAAGAACAAAAATTAATAAAACAATGTTTTAAAGTCAGACGTTTTAGAATACTACTAAACCATACTTACCTACTGCTCATTTGATTTCTTGTTGTATTAAAAACCTGTTAAGCCCGATTGCCCCCGCTGGCGGGGGTAAACACAACAATATTAAACGAAACTGTGTGTCAGGGCTTCTTAACATTTAACAACCTATTAATGTGTCATACCCACTTAACTGGAAGAAACTCAGCTAACTGATGTAGAGTTATATTTGTATTTATTCATGTTAGCAAACTATGGATAAGCTTAAAATGGGAATAATTTGGGTAAAACTGTGAGCTGCATTTGGGGCCTGTTGACATGTGTTTTTGAGGACAAAGGAAGATGGGGGAAGGTGAGAGCATGTCCTGATTTGCATTCAACTTAGAACGAGCTACAGTGGTTGTGATGTTAAGAGAGGTCCCTTGGGTTTCTCTGGTGCTTATCAATAGTAGCAGTTAAGTGAATACTGTTCAAACAATACCTGTGTTTGTGTTTTATATTGATTTCTCTGTTTTATCCTTTCATAAATGTAAGGACTACAAATGGCTATAAACATTCTGGGCTGGTTGGAGTAAACAGGGTTTTATGGCTCTGTGGGGGAGGTGTAGGTATGCAGGCCTTGAGACCTTTTGTTGTAAAGTGAGCCTGTTTGGTTTCCTGCTGCGTTTCCTGCTGCGTTGCGTCTCCCAATGAGATGACCTGAAAAGATGACCAGCTGACCTAACACCAAACCCCTCCTTCTTACTCTGGTATATATCCGGTGGATCCCTGGCGTTCGGCCTCTTCTTCACATGCTGCCCTCGGGTGAAAGTAGCTCTGCAGTATGCGGACCAGAGCAGGAGTAAGCCGGCATTACTCCTTAAGCATTGCAATATAACTGTAATATATCATGTTGTATTGTAATGATTGTATTGCATTGTCATATTGCCATTAAAGTAGATTATTGTTAACGGTTACTTTGTAGCTATGGATTCCTTCCTGTATTATAACCAGCTTCATAGGAACGCGCGGAGATTTGAAAAGCGGACCAGTTATCCCTCCAAATCTCCAACAAAATGGTGACCCGACGTCTAGAGATAACGAAGCTGAGGAAGAATTCAGACGCTTTCAAACATCTCAGACAATCAGCAGGACTCTGCAACTTTGCAAATAAGGTAAGCAGACGATGAAAGTCGCCTGTCTGTAATTGGATACGCTAAAACTTTAGGATTGTCTGTAGGCGTTTCACAGTGTTTTTATAGTTTAAATGGAATATACAATGCATATTTTACTATGTTAGGAAAGTTATATACAAAACGTAAACGTTGATCGACAGGTAGACGAAAGTCCTGCGTGACGTAAAATAGAGCAGTTTGGCGCGGATCTGCAGGTAGAATATTCCTGAGTGGCGTAGAAATGGTGCAGTTTGTTATGCGAGGTTTGATTCCTGCACGACAAAACCTGGAAACTCGATAAATCAGATCGAGTCGCCGTTTAAAACTGGGGTTTAAATAACAGACCAATGCTAAAAGCTTAAAGCCAGAGGTCTGTTATATATTAAACCAAGGTAGAGCGTTTCCCTTTGTCTGGAAACTTCTGCTGCTGCCATCTAGTGGCTGAAAGGGGGTATCACACCCTTGAAACTTCTGCTGCTGCCATCTAGTGGCTGAAAGGGGGTATCACACCCTTGAAACTTCTGCTGCTGCCATCTAGTGGCTGAAAGGGGGTATCACACCCTTGAAACTTATGCGAGCTTAGAGTTTAATCATTACATTGCTGGCCGGTATTGTTTGGTAAACTGGTACAAAACAATAAGGGATTGAACATTTTTTACAACGACAGCACCAGGAGATGAGTAAACTCAAGAATCTGTAGAGTGTAAATACATTGTGCAAAACACATTTTACACTCGAACTGTTTGCAAATGTAGACAATATAAATAAATGTTCAGAAAGAAGACATAGGCCTACACTTGATTCAAATTTCATTACTGTGATCCGATTGGTGTGCTCTGCAGGTTTACTATTGTTCGAAGTAACAGTGGGATTTAAAATGAGAGAAGATATGGAGATGTTCTTTCATAGTGTGTGGAATATGTGATGCTGGAAACATGTAAGTATTTCAGAGTTGTGTTGGGTAAATATGTAACAATGGATGAAACAATTTTTGGAGTTAGTTTTTGTAATATCATAAGTAGACATTAATTATGTTGTTTAGATGGCATTTAACAACTAAGACAGATAGTATGATTAGAAAGAGACAGAGTGGAAAGGGTTGGATTTATTTAACATCAGTGTGCTAGACTTCTTATAGGTAATGTGTACCGGGACCTGGACTCCCCCTCTGAGTTAGAAAGGCTTTGATCCCGACCCTCCAAGCAGACAACGAGACCTAACCCAACAGGAGACTCCTCCTTCTCCATCGTACAGACAGAGAACCAGAGCTGAACCAACAACAACAACAAGACTACATCAAGACTGCAGCCAGAACTATCTCCACCTGTGGCATCCAGAACCAAACCAGCATGCTGACATACAGAGAGATACTCTCATCGGTCCCTCAAACAGGACATGAAGTTCCAAACTGCGCCGCGAGATTTGGCACAATAGACATGAGAGCAGAATCCGCCCTCCATAAAAACAGCAGAGAGACTGTAAAGGAGGAGTGCAACAACAGTGGCATGATGGGGCTGCAGATGTGACTGGGCCAATGGCTGCCTACAAAAGTTACAGCGGATGGATTCAACAGCTGATGGACTGAAGAGAAGACAGAATCAGAGGAGTTGGCAGGGTCGATTAGAAGTGAGGAGGCCGGGGTCACGGCTTGAGAAAACCAGGGGAGGAGGAAAGGAGAACGGGAATGAGTGAGTTTACACATAAACACACTTATTCACGAAACGCACATTTAAATAACTTGAATTAACTTCATAAATACGTAAAGACAGAAAGATTTATTAATCATTTGGTAAATTAAAAATAGCAGTAAAGAGGAAACTATTAAAGTAAAATGATAATCATCCTAAAACACACTAACAGAGTAGAACCATATTCTTCAATATTTTCATCATGTTAACAAATCATTCTTTAAGACATTTTTATTCACGTGTGAATAAAGTAGCGGTCTCATTGGTTACAATATTGATCACCATTAAAAGGATAGTTTTAGGAACCACTCTATAGGACAAATCTTTGTTTGTATTAATGGCTAGTGCCAAGCCACATATTAAATTCCAATCTAAAGTGTTGATTTCACCATTGTGGCATAGTTATTACCAGACTTCGGTTTTAAATCCTTGATAAAGGAGGGAGTAATTGTTGCATGTTCGGACACCCAAGGTTCCACACACTGCTAAAGAGTTTAACATCGTTTTTTAAGTAGACCAGAATTATAATGAGCTATGAAATGCAGAGCGACACAGATCCTAGTAATGTTTTGACTCAAGATAATAGTTATTGTACAAAAGTTTCTGAAATAGATCATTAGACATTTTAATTAGTAGTGGTACTCGAAGGAAGTGAGTTTTGTACCAAGTTTCAGGAAAAGTGGGAGGCGGAAGTCCCAATGACAAGTGAGAATCATCTTGAAAATGATAGTTGAAATCGTGACATATTTTTGTAGACAAAGGATACTGGCCTATGCTGAAATGTCAAAGTCTCTGCAGAGCACGACACATGGCCAAAAAAGACGGAGACCAACTGACCTTTGACCCTGACCGACAGTGTAACTTGACAAGGCACTGTGGATGACTGACTCTGGGGTGAACCTGACCAAACTTGACATGACAACCAGACAGTGTGAGTGTGAATGTATGCCGGCATGTGATCAGTGTAACTGCATGATTCTAAAACAATAACTAACCAAGCATGTTTTTGGACTAACATATTATTTTGGAGCTCCAAGGGAAACGAGAGGTTTCCTAAAAATTCCACAAAAAGGGGAAACCGCACATGTGATATTTTCCTCTCACATGAGTTGGCGGTTTGCAAATGTAAAACTACAATCTGAAGATTCTGTTTCTTTTAGGCCTGAAGGACGGAGAGGAACACTTCTTTTCACTGAAGTGTTCACTGTGGAAATAATGATAATAATGTTCGTTATGTTCCTAACCAATTACCTGACAGTTTTTGTTCCCCTCCCATTACAGGCTTTTGTTACACATGATTTCATGTGTAAAAAGGGGGGAGTGAGTATAATGTATAAATGTCAACATGGCTGTAAAATTCACAATTTACATTTTTCTTTTAAGGATTGAGCATTGAATGTAATTAACCTGCTCCATATCTGGGGATAAGATACTGTTTGATGAATGTTGAGATGTTTCTAAATATTGATTTGAATTATAACAGGTAACAAAGAAGCAGTGGCCAAGGGGCTACTGTGAAACCGAAGAAGTTGACCTGTGATAGTGAAACAATTTTGTAATATTTTAACAGACATTAGAGTAACTGAGGTTTGAAATGTAGAAAGAACATATTACAGTTAAAGCTAAAACATAGTAGTGTATTGAGACAGAATTTAATTTAGACAGCATCATGTAACTAGCCTGGTAAAGAAGTAAAAGCCATAGACTTTATTGTTTAGGTCATTATAGGGATATACATTTCATCTAAATTTATAATAGAAAGACATTTGATGACAGTTTGTTGGAATTCTGTATTCATTTTTTCAGCGTGATAATATCTAAGCACTGACAGGTAGAAGCAGTATCACCAGGAAATCATTCACTTTGTTAGCATCGTGATTTTGGTTGTTTTTGAATCCATAACATTAGTGTGTTTCTTTACCAGAAACATTAGCAGTTCATATTATATTTGGGTTTTAAATAGGATTTCATTTAAAAATAAACACGGATGCTTGTCAGAAATTCAGAGCTATTGAAATATGTTATTTAGTTTACCTAAAGATGTTGGGGTTCTTATTTAGTTGGCACAATCCAAGTATTAAGATTCTGAAGCTGCACTGGCAGATAGGAGGTCTACAATTAATTTGGAAAACCTGTTCACAGACGGCTGTTGTTTCAAGACACCCCACCAAGAGGCTCCAAGTGGGTCAAAACAGCTGAGCGTAGGCTTGAGGGAGTTGTATCAGATTTCTCCACACAGGTCACTGGCGCCAAAAGGGGGACCCGAGAAGCACGAGGACAAAGTGGCTCAACCCCAGGCTCTCCGACCCCGACCGAGTGACCCAGCGGACCTCTTATGCCGTCTGCCTGGGAGAAAAGGGGGACAGCTCGTACCACGGGAGCCAGTGTGCGGCGGGGAAACCACCTGCTAGGACCAGGGGACGACATCAGGACGGACGTGGCCCTGGCAGACGTGGACTACTCGGAAGCAGCAGACTGGAGGAGCAGGACCCTGGAGACATCCTTACAGCAGACGACCCGGGAGGCATCATCAGCGGGCCGGAGAAGGAGGACCCTGGAGACATCTCTACAGCATCGACCCGGAAGCCGCCATCAGCGGGCCGGAGGACGAGGAGGAGGAAGACATCTCTCTAGCAGGCAGCCCAGAAGCTGCCGTCAGCGGATTGGGGGACAAAGACACGGCAAGCCAGGACGGCACAGGGAACTTGTCGAGGCAGGAGAGGAGTCTACTTCGCTCTGATCAGTTCTACCCGTGAAGGGAAAGCTGCATCTCCCCCTCCCTATTAGCTGTCCTTGTGGGCTATTCCTCCGAGGGGGGGGGGGGGGGGGTGATGATTCTAGCACTCAGCTACCCCCTCATGGTTCCTTCACTGCCATGGAAAGTGGTGTTCTGTCTCCATGAAGGTTTCAAGTACTCTAAATACCAGCTTCGGATGGATTTACGGACACAGTAGAAAAGAATGACCGTGGGTATATTTCAAAATGCCTTGTCTAAGTTTATCTCTGGAGAAGGAGATAAAAAGGGGGATTTGTAGAGTTATATTTGTATTTATTCATGTTAGCAAACTATGGATAAGCTTAAAATGGGAATAATTTGGGTAAAACTGTGAGCTGCATTTGGGGCCTGTTGACATGTGTTTTTGAGGACAAAGGAAGATGGGGGAAGGTGAGAGCATGTCCTGATTTGCATTCAACTTAGAACGAGCTACAGTGGTTGTGATGTTAAGAGAGGTCCCTTGGGTTTCTCTGGTGCTTATCAATAGTAGCAGTTAAGTGAATACTGTTCAAACAATACCTGTGTTTGTGTTTTATATTGATTTCTCTGTTTTATCCTTTCATAAATGTAAGGACTACAAATGGCTATAAACATTCTGGGCTGGTTGGAGTAAACAGGGTTTTATGGCTCTGTGGGGGAGGTGTAGGTATGCAGGCCTTGAGACCTTTTGTTGTAAAGTGAGCCTGTTTGGTTTCCTGCTGCGTTTCCTGCTGCGTTGCGTCTCCCAATGAGATGACCTGAAAAGATGACCAGCTGACCTAACACCAAACCCCTCCTTCTTACTCTGGTATATATCCGGTGGATCCCTGGCGTTCGGCCTCTTCTTCACATGCTGCCCTCGGGTGAAAGTAGCTCTGCAGTATGCGGACTAGGGCAGGAGTAAGCCGGCATTACTCCTTAAGCATTACAATATAACTGTAATATATCATGTTGTATTGTAATGATTGTATTGCATTGTCATATTGCCATTAAAGTAGATTATTGTTAACGGTTACTTTGTAGATATGGATTCCTTCCTGTATTATAACCAGCTTCATAGGAACGCGCGGAGATTTGAAAAGCGGACCAGTTATCCCTCCAAATCTCTAACACTGATGATATGAACCATTTTGGCTAAACAAAACACAAGGGTAACACCAAGCCTCTGAATTAGCACTAAGCGAAAGAGTACGGTAGCGATATTGTATACTTCATGCTATCTGCACAAACTACACTGAACAAAAATATAAATGCAAC